GCCGTGGATTCTATGGGCTCAGCAGCTCTGTGGCTGCCTGTGCTCAGTTTCTGCTCTGGGCAGACCCAGCTGTGACACTCAGCACAGGGCTGTGATGGGACACATTTAGCAGAGCTGGTGGGAAGGGGCTCAGTGCTGGGCTGAAGCCTGGGGAGAGGATCTCTAAATCCCAATCAAAGTGTGTGTTCTTTCTCCCCACAGCCAGCTGTCCACCACATCCCAGGATTTGAGGTAATGCCTTTCTCCTCTTTGCAGCTCCTCAGCCCAGACTTGGCCACAAAGATGCTGGGAGGGCTGGAGCAGCTCTGGAGCCAGGCTGGGAGAGTTGGGGTGTTCAGCCTGGAGAAGAGAAGGCTCCAGGGAGAGCTGAGAGCACCTTCCAGTGCCTGAAGGGGCTCCAGGAAAGCTGGGGAGGGGCTTGGGACAAGGGCAGGGAGGGATGGGAGCAGGGGGAAGGGTTTCCAGCTGGCAGAGGGAGCTGGAGCTGAGATGGGAGGGAGAAATTCTGGGCTGTGAGGGTGGGGAGAGCCTGGGCCAGGTTGCCCAGGGAAGCTGTGGCTGCCCCATCCCTGGGGGTGTTGAAGGGCAGGTTGGATGGGGCTTGGAGCAGCCTGGGCTGCTGGGAGGTGTCCCTGCCCATGCAGGGAGGTTGAAACTAGATGATCCAGCCCAAGTCATTCTATGATTTTAGGATGCAGGAATCCCCATGAAGAGATGCCAGTTTCCTCGTGCAGAGCTGCAGCAAGTGGCTCAGCTCACATGAAATCCATGAGACAGGGCAAACGTCCCCCATTCCAGATACAATCCCCCAGACACAGGTCTCCAGCACACTCTGACCTTCCTGCCTGGGATCACTGCAGCATTCCCACCATGAAGGGCTGGACTTCCCAGCTGCTCCAGCATTTTCCCCCCCTGCAGCCTGGCTGAGCCAAGGCAGCAGCTGATGCTGGGTTTGAGCTGTTGGTTGGTTGCCTGTCCTGGTTCCTTCCCCAGCCTCGGGCCTGGGGCTGTGCAGGAACTGGGAAAGCACCTTTTTCTACAATTCAAAGGCACAGGAGGGTTTTGGGGATGAGTGTTGCTCTAACTCTGAACTTCCCTTCTCTTTTCCAAACAGAATGAACTGTCCTCCAGCCTGGATGAGGTGAGTCTGTAAGACTTAGTTGTCTTTTTGTCTTGGGTGTTGTTAGATTTGTGCCTCCAGGTGCAGCCACTTCCTTTCAGAGTCCAGTCCATAGGATCAAGTGTTTAGTGGTCACCAGCAGGAGGTGGTTGATGGGCTCCATGCTTAACCCACCACGTGTTCCCAATGTCAGGTTATATTGAACCTCTGTGGGATGTGTGTGCATGAGTGTCTGGTGGTGCCCAACCCTTCAAATGATGCCTGTAGGAGCCTAAATGCTGGGCTGACCTTTGGTTGAACCTCTGCTGGGATCCCAACTGAAATGTCTGCAGCTTTTCATGGGAGGGTTTGCCATGAACTGGGGCACGTGCTGAACTGTTCCAGTTGCTTGGAATGACATAGACTCCCCAGGATCTCAAGCTGCTGCTTGGGCAACCTGTCAAAGCTGCTGCCCAGGTCTTGTGGGTCCTCCAGAGAAGATCCCCAGCTGAACCAAGTGCTGCCCAGGTCTTGTAACAACAAAGCAGGGAGCTCTGCAAGGGATGTCTCTGTTTGAGTGTTGTGGTGGCCCTAGGAGCCAGTTAACCCCAAAGTCCTGGAGATGAGCTAAGAGGGAGCTGGGGCAGGGAAGGAGCCTGGCCATGTTTCCATGACAGGTTGGATGGGACAAGCACGTTTTGGAAGATGGGTTTCTTCCACCCAAGCAGCCTTTCCTGATGGTCTGGGGCTCATCTTGGTGCTCCGTGTGGGCTGAGATGGATGACCTGAAACATAACCATCTGCTCTTTCTCCTCCATTTCTTGCCACTGCCATGGATGGGGCTCCAAGCTCTGCACCCCTGCCTTGTTCTACGAGGGCCTCCTCCAATGGGTACCTTTCATACTCAAACACCCAACCCTCCTCTCTTCCTCTGCTGCTGCTCAGAAACCAAGCAAAATCACAACAGAGACTCTCAGAGACCCCAGCTCCTTCAGACATGGCTTGGCCTGACCCACCTGCCCCCCAGGAAACCCATCAAGAACAAGGCACTGAGGCTGCATCCAGAGGAGTGATGCCAGCCTGAGGTCTCCAGTGCCCTGAGCCTCGTGGAGAATCAGGCTCATAGATGCATCATTCAGGCCCATGATGGATCTGAATGATCTGGTGGGCACCAGGCTTCCTTCCACTGCATCTTGTGCCAATGGGAGGAGCCTTTGGCACTGGGATTTGAGTCCCCCCCCTTGAATCAACATGGCCCAGTTGTGTGCTTAAAATGGGAGACGTTGCCAGCCACTGTTCTGACTGGTCTGAGCTGTGTTGACCTTCACCCATCTCTCTTCCAACCCTGTATCAAAGTCAGGGTTGGACTAGATGATCTCCTTTCACCCTGAGTCCCTCTGGCTTGTCTCCTTCAAACCATCCCACCTGCAGACCCCATGGGCCTTTTCATGGATGTCTTCTCCATCCCCCTGGCTGTGTCTGGGCTGAGAGCTGTGTCTGGGAATTCTCACTTCCCCCCTTAACTCTCCCTGCTCCTGCCTCACCCCCATGTCTCACTGCTCATTTCTGTCCCACCTGGGGGAACATTTAATGCTCCTTCATTCGGTGGAGACCCAGGAGAATGACTACAAAAGAGCCAGGAGAGCAGCAGGGCTTGAGAAGGAGTTAGAAAAGGCTACAGCTTAGCTGAAGATGCCACAGTGTTAGGAGCCAAGTGTGCACTGTTGGCCTGCAAAGCTGCTGTTGAACCTGGGGAAGCTAATGAGGAACAGGCAGGAGGTTCTCCAAGGCTTTCCCCTTCTCCCATACAGATTTGCCAGGGCACAGCTGGATTGCAATGACCTCTGGCCCCCAGTGGTGATAAGGAAATGCAACATGTACTGTTTGCATCAGTGAAGACTGAGGTGCCCTCTTAGGGTAAAAAAACTCCCTTTTTGGGATGAGTCTGAGCATCCATCTCACAGGGTGTGTGGAGGGAGCCTGGGGGGCTGGAGGTGGGCTGGGGCACTTCTGCATCTCCCTTATGCAACTGAAGTTGCATTTCAGCACATTTAAAGCTAGAAACCAACATTTTTCACTCTATCTACATGGACAGACTGAGGCTCCTGGGGACATGGGCCAGTGGTGGCCTTGGCAGTTACTGGTTACTGCTTGGACTTGGTGATCTTAAGGGTCTTTTCCAACCAAAACAATTCTGTGTTTCTCAGATTCTTCTTGATTCAGTCCATGCTTAGGTATCTTGGAGGGCTCTGGGTGCTGTGGGTCCCAAACAAAAGCTGGGGGTGGCTCTTTAAGGGCCATTTGGTCTGTTCCTCTACCCCGGGGAAGGATCAGCTCATGTTGAGGGGGCAATGTCTTCACAGCCTGGGGAAGCAGGTGGGTCACCAGAAGTGCTGAGCACCTGAGCAATGCTGGGGATGCTCTGCACCTCTCCCTGCTCCTTGGCACTCACCTCCCAGATAACCTTCCCTTGCCCTGCTTCCCTTTTCCTAACCATTCCTGGGAGCACGTGGAGCACGGGAGGTGGTGCCTGCCCTGGGTAGGAACTCAGACATCTGCCCCAGAATGGACTATCAGAAAGTCTTCAGCTGACAGGCAGCTTGATGCAGCTGCCACCAGCACCTGCCAGTGCCAACACAAGCCCAGCACCTGGTGTATCCAAGGTGCCCCTGGGAAAATCCCCTTCATGGGGCTTGTGCAAACCTGGAGCTGCAACACACACGTGGTTTCATGCAGTAACAGCCCAGCCTGCAAGGAACACCAGGCTCCTGAAGGGGTTCCAGCTGCCCTTGGCTGAGGGTTGCTGCATCTTGAGAGGTTTTGTTTCATTCCTGCCTTTTTGTGGCTCTGGACTCCAAGAGGAGGGTCAAGAAGAACCTGAACCCTGGGCAGGCCCAGAGCCCCTCCTGTCTGAGGGCTCAGGGGTGTCTGGCTCCCTGCTTCACTCCTCCATCCAGGCAGATTTTTAATCCCTCCCTTGCCCTCTAGGTTGGGTCTTGCCCTGTGTGACCTGCTCTGCTGTGTACCCAGGGAGCACAGATGGCTTCCCCTGAGCCCTGTGCTGTGGCCACAGCCTGGCAGCTCCCAGCTGTGCTTTGTAGGGATGTGGGATGGACAGCAGCCCCTTCCTGCATCCAGAGGTGATGCTGCCCCTCCATCCCAGGGAAGGGGCAGCAGGTCCCACGTCCTCCCTCCACCCAGCTCCATCAGGTCTGTTTCACTGATTAACCCTGTGCTGCAGCTTCCCCCCCTCTCCTCACCCTCCTGCTGAGCTGCCTCCCCGAGGTTCTGCCCTTCCATCCCCTCCTTCCCTCCACCAGGCTGCAGGAAGGAGGGCAGATCCCTCTTGGCTCCCTTGAGAAGGCTCAGGGAATCACCTGCTTGATGAACAGGAAGCATCTGCAAGCACATTGACCTCCAGCTCTCACCTCCTCCCCTCCAGGTGTCCTGGACTTGTGGGGGGAGACGAGTTTTGCAGAGAGGGGACTTGGTGAAGGACACAGCCTGGGGAGGGGGAGGTGGGGTTGGTGGGGTTGCTGTCCCCTCCTGGCATGGCCTGACGTGCCCCTGGTGTCTCTGCTCCCCACAGGCTGCAGACTCTGACCTGCCCTACCCCCCACCCCAGCTGCAGCCCAACATCTACATGGTGCCCCAGGGGATCAAGCCTGTCCTGCAGCGCACGGCCATCGAGGTGGGTGCTGGGGGACCCCCCTGCAGGGCAGCACCTCTGACGTGTGTCCCTGCTGGGGGACGAGACCCAGAAATGGGATCTGAGCCAGACTCTGTGGGCACAGGGTCCTGGCACTGCCGGGACCTGGTTCTTCCCTTGGGCCCAACATCTACATGGTGCCCCAGGGGATCAAGCCTGTCCTGCAGCGCACGGCCATCGAGGTGGGTGCTGGGGGACCCCCCTGCAGGGCAGCACCTCTGACGTGTGTCCCTGCTGGGGGACGAGACCCAGAAATGGGATCTGAGCCAGACTCTGTGGGCACAGGGTCCTGGCACTGCCGGGACCTGGTTCTTCCCTTGGGTTGTCAGTCCAAACGTGTTGTCTTGCTGGGGAAACGAGTCCCACCGAGCAGTTGGGTCCTGGGGCAGAGCACAGCCCTGCCCCATGCTTGGTTTGTAGGACAGTCTGCCTCACACGTGGGGAACTTCGTGCCAATGTGGTGGTGTTGGTCCTAGGCTGGACTTGGTGATCTTACAGGTCTTTTCCAGCCTTGGTGATTCTGTGGGATACTTGCCCCAACCAGAGATACCCCATTAGCAGGGAGGCAGTTGTGGACCTGGTGTATTGATGCATGCAGAGAAGGGCTTGCTGAATGACCTGGCTTCTCCCAGCACCTGGTGTCCCACATGGTTGATTAATCTCTGCTTCTTGGTGGGCCAACCTTCAGGTTTACCTCCATTGCTGAGAAGCTCAGTGAGAGACCTGGAGGCAGACCTTTGGCTCACTCTCTGTCCCTCTCACCCTTCAGATCCTGGCCTGGGGGCTGAGGAACCTCAAGAGCTACCAGCTGGCCAGTGTCACCTCACCCAGCCTGCTGGTGGAGTGTGGGGGGCAGCTCGTGCAGTCCTGTGTCATCAAGAACGTCAAGAAGAACCCCAACTTTGACATCTGCGTGCTCTACATGGAAGCGGTGAGGACCTGCTCCCCAGCCTGCACTGGTGGGGTCAGGGCAGAGCTGGCTGGGCAGGACCTGCAGAGATGCCACCGAAAAAGCATCCCATGGTGAAGCCCTGCTCTGCCTTGGTTCCCTCTGGGGAGGTGAAGAGCAGCTGTGCTTTCTCTCTGCCCCGTGTGGTTACGTGTCCCCTCTCCCCGCAGCGCCTGCCCAAGGAGAGCCTGTACAGCCCTCCCATCATCATCAAGGTCATTGACAACAGGCCCTTTGGCAGGAGGCCCGTGGTGGGGCAGTGCACCATCCACGCCTTGGAGGGCTTCTACTGGGACCCCTACCGAGAGGAGGCAGAGGGACCCCAGGAGCACTCAGGTGGGTGCTGCCCCTGGGACCAGGCTGGCTGCCCACCCGTGCCCTGCTCCAGCAACCAGAGTCACCTGGGTTGGAAAAGAACCTAAAGATCATCAAGTCCAACCCTTCCCCCAGCCCTGCCCAGGCCCCACTGCCCCGTGTCCCTCAGCACCATCTCCAGGGCTTGGAAACCCCTCCAGGGATGGGGACTCCCCCCCTGCCCTGGGCAGCCTGGGCCAGGCCCTGACACCCCTTGCCAGGCAGGAATTGTTCCCCAGATCCAACCTCCACCTCCCCTGGCACAACTTGAGGCCATTCCCTCTTGTCCCATCCCTTGTTCCTGGGGAGCAGAGCCCGACCCCCCTGGCTCCAACCTCCTCTCAGCAGCTGCAGAGCCAGCAGGTCTCCCCTCAGCTCCTTTGACAACCCTTGCCAGGCAGGAATTGTTCCCCAGATCCAACCTCAACCTCCCCTGGCACAACTTGAGGCCATTCCCTCTTGTCCCATCCCTTGTTCCTGGGGAGCAGAGCCCAACACCTGCTCATGGAGGAGCTTTGGGTCACTCTCTGTCCTACATTTAGCTCAGCCCAGCTGTGGGTGAGATGCAAAAAGCCCAGAAGGTGCCAAGGAGGAGCTGAGCTCTGGGGTTGGTTGCTGAGATGGGCTGTCCCTTGGCCAAGCCTGCAGGAACACGAGCTTTGGCTGGTGTGAAGGTTCTGGGCAGGGCTGAGGTTGCTCCTGGAGCACGACCAAGGTGACTTGGCTTTGAGGCTTCTCCCACCTCCTCACCATGCTGGTGCCTGCTCTGGTTGCAGACGCCGTGAGCCTCACGCCCAGGGACGACGTCCTGATTGACATTGATGACAAAGAGCCTCTGATTCCTGTCCAGGTAGGAAGAACCCCCCGGGGGTGGGAAGATTTTGCTGCTTTGTGTGACACGGGAGAACTTGTGCAGGCACAGAGCTGTGCTGGAGACCAACGCAGGTCTCTGAGGTGGGGCCACCTGGTTTTAACCTTCCTTTGGCAGTTTCCACCTCTGTTTTCCCCCCTTCTCCTCCCCCCTCCACAAGGAGCAACCACAGATCCATGTTTCTCACCCAAACAGGAGGGGTCAGGTGTGCCTTGCTGGGAGGGAGGCACCAGGAGAGCAGAGCAGCCTCTCTCCAGGCCAGGCTCTGCCCTCCAGGGGCTCTTCCTCAAATGGGTGGTTTGGTCTGAGGCTGAAGAAGGTCTGCACACCCCCTGAGGGCCCTGCTGATCTGGCTTCTCTCTTGGAAGTGACAGTCACTGCCCCAAGGAGGTGACAGCCCTGAGGGACCCACCCCAGCACTGGGGAGGCTGAGCTGATGCTGGGACAGCTTGTCCAAGGCCACCCTGGAAGCAAAGGTTCCCTGAGGCTCAGTTGTCCTCACCACAACCACTGGTCCTGGTGACACTGGTCCTGTTGGTGCTTTGCATTTCTCTAGCCTTTGGGTTTCTTTGCCAGCAGATGTGTCCTCTTGGAGGCAGAGACCTGACGTGTGTGTGTGATGGACAAACCTAGAGGTGACCCTGGTTGCTGAGGAGCAGCTGGAAGTGTTGTCAGAGACATTTGGTGGAGCTTCTCATGGTGTCCCATTCCTTTTGGTGTGGTTAATGAGCTCTGGGCATTTCCTTCCTCCCTGTTCTGAGGGCTGTGGGTGCTGTGTGAAGGTAGAAGATGTTCCATAGGAGATCTGCCTCTCAGGGAGCCTCTGGCCTTGTCTCACTGCCCATAACAGCCAGATGAATTTAGATGAAATGTGATGCATTGATGCTTCTGCTCCTCATTCACCTCCTTGGTGGCACCTCAGTGTTTCTCTTTATGAGGGCTTCATGATCCACTGATCTGTGCCATCAAGTATTTGCAGTTGTGTCCCAGCCTGGACTCAGACTGGGGTCCCAGCATCAGGTTGTCCCATGGACATTCCAAGCTGGAGCTGCACCTCTCTCCTTGCTGCACCCTTAGCACTGAGGTGTTCACCTCAGGTGGGTGCCATGCAAGTCCTTCCCACACCTGAGCAGACATTGCTGAAGCAGGAGGACACTTTGCACCCCTGCAGCCTCTGCCTGGTTCCAGCCTTTTGGGCTTTGGGAGAAGGAAGAATTAAGATTTTGGCCAGTGCTTGGCAAAAGCTGAGGGTGCAGGACTCCAAAGTGTTGTGGTCTGGACTCCAGATGCCTCCCTAGGCCAAGCACTGATGAGATCCACATTGATGCTCTCAGGCAAGGCCACCCCATGGCCAAACAGGGACATGGGTTAGTGGTGGGCTTGGCAGTGGTGGGTTTATGGTTGGACTCGAAGACCTTAAGCATCTTTTCCAACCTCAGTGATTCTGCTGTTCCATGAAATGAGCTGGTCTTTTAGGTTCCCCACCAGCCAAGAGGTGGGACACTCACATCCTCAGCTCCCTGGGCTGCTGGCATCTTCTCCTCAGATGTTCAGAAGAGATTAGGAACTGGAGAGTGGAGTTTGAAAACGCTGGGCCAAGTGGACAAATGTTGAAAGGAAAAAGCAACTCCAGACAGCAAACCCCCCTGGGAAGCTCCTGCCCTTCCCTTCCTTGGCCATTTCAGGATCTGTCTGGATAATTTACCATTGTGCTTCATCCTGCATCAGGGGAGCAACTGGAGCATGTCTGTGAAAAACACACCCAAACCAGTCCTGGAATGGGAACCTTCACTTCTGCAAATCCAAAAAAAACCCCTTTTTCTGGCCCAGAAGGTGCTTGGGAGAAAAGCAAGGTCAGAGAATATCGTGGGCAGGTCCTGACCTCACCTCTGAGCAGCTCTGTGATGCTTGGGGAGCAGTGGCCCTTTGCTGCCCCAGGGGAGCTGGTGGCACCCAGCACCTCCACCAAGGTGGTGAGACCCTCTGCAGGGGCAGCTGTGGGTGGGATGGGTCCTCAGGAAGGGCTCAAAGCACCCAGGGAAGGGTTTGCTGCTGCTGCAGTGGTGGGCACAGGCCTCATCCAAGGGCTGGGGGCATCTATGAAGGACAGGAAGATGCCAGAGACCAGGAGGGCTTTGCTTTATCCACGGGCTGAGACCCCCAGCAGAGGGATTTTCTGCTCCCTCTTGACCCACAGCCACAGATGGGGCAGCAATGGGGGGAACTGGTTTTGCAGCTGCATCTCCAGACAGCTGCAAGGACACAATATCTTATTTTTTTAAGAGAAAAATCCACCCACCTCTGGGGTTGCTTTGACTGAATTTTTTTATCCCCCTCCTCCCCCCATATTCTCCAATCTACAGTTTCAACTCTCCTCCTTTCTTGGTTTTTGGGTCCGTTTTCAGCAGAAATGCTGCAGTGGAGCAGAAGGACAGCCTGCAGCACCTGGGATGGGCAGGATTCCTTGGAGAGAGGGTCAGGAGGTGGCACCAGTTGCTCTGCCAGTGGTGCCCTTGGCAGCAGGAGCCAGGGTGTGTGTCACTGTGTGGCTCCAGAGCCTCCCTCTCTCCTTGCCAAGCCTGCCTGTGGTCCCTTCTCTGGTGGGTGACTGGAACAGAGGGTGGCTTTGTTGCCCTCATCTGAAGCAGAGAAAACCACCAGACAGTGAAGCCCCCTCTGCTCTGAGGCTGCTCTCTGTGTTGTCCATCGTGTCCAAGCAGGGGGAGAAGTTCAGCCCCAGGTCTATTTAAAACAAGTCTCTGTGCACACGAGCTGCAAACATCAGGGTGACTGAAGGCAAAGGGGAAAAAAAAGCTCCTAAAACTCACAGAAGAAGCAGTTTTTCTGTGGCAAGGTCTCCTGGGCTGAGCCCTTCCAGGTTGCTTCTCAGGGGGTGAGCACAGAGAGGGGCTTTGCAAGGGCTGAGTGGGGAGGACCCACCGTGGGGTGTCTGGGCTGAGCTGGGTGTGGATCTGCCCCTGTTCCTGCCTGCTCTGCCCCCGTGGCCTCCCCTTCCTCTCCCTGCCCTTCCTGGGGGTCCTCATCCCCATGGCAGGCAGAGCAGGAAGGACAACCAGGAGGTCCACCTGAAGTTTCAAGGGATGAGCAGACATTCCTTTCTTCTGATCAAATAGTCCTGGGGGAGCCTTTCCCCCAGGAAGCAGCTGTAAATCCAGGGGGTTGGCTTTGCCCAAGGTCTGATGCATGTCTGGTTTGATGGACCTAGGGGAAGCCTGATGCTCCAAACCAACTATTTTCTGGTGAGAACATCTCATTTCTCCCCCTCCCCTTCCTGAAGGAACCACATTTTGCCAGACTGAAGCAGGGCTGCCTGATGGCAGCAGCTCTGGGTTTGCCAAGAGCAAGGTGCTCTCATGCTTGGTGGGTTTTTTGGTACCAGCCCTTGCTCCTGAGCCCTCCTAACCCCTCTGTGTTAAAAACACCCAGGTCAGAGTCCTCTTTGGCTCCTGTGATGAAGGTGGCTTCTGCCTTTGCAAGCCCTCCATGTCCATGGGAGGAGACACTGTCCTGTGCTGAGAAATATCAACAGCTTTTCTGCCATGTGGGTTTTCCCCCTTTTTTCCCTCTTTAATAGCCCATCTGTTCTCTGCAACCATTCCAACCCTGTCCCACTGGATGAACATCCATGCAAACCCAAACCCCACCCAGGAGACCATGTCTGAGGAGCCCTCAGCTTCCTGAGCCAGGAGGTGGGGGAAGGAAGGCTGCAGCATCTGGGTCCACCCTGAATTGTGCTTTTGCTGATGTCTGTTAAACCCTGGTTCTCTAACCCCATTGCTAACCAATCATTTTAATTTGTAGCTTGCAGAGGGCCTGACCAGCTCAGCACTAATTAACATCCCAGCTCCCTGGGTCCAGCCTCATGTATGTATTGCCCCATTTCTAACTTCCTTGCTTGATGGATGAGTTCTAGGAATGGTCCATGTGTGTCCATGGAAACCCTGCTGGAAACTGAGGCTTTGCTTTCTGGGAAAGATGCCCTTGGTGCCCTAGAGCATGGGGGTGTCCTGGTGCCACAGGGGTGTCCATCCCAGCAACCCTGCCCCTTCCTGCCAAAGGAAACTGAGGTTGGTCTCCGGGAGGCAGGATGAGGAATTTCCTCCCTCTGGTCCTCGTGGTGCTGGCAGTTTGTATGTGCTCGAGGTCAGATGCCTTCCCAACAGCCTCTGGCTTCTCTGCCTGCTCCAGCAGAGCCTGGTAGCTCCGTGGGGATGGTGTGTCCTGGGTGGATGCAGTGGCTTGGCTGAGGACTTGGTGGGAGCCCTGTGCTCCTCCGTGTTCCAGCTCAGGGACTGTGACAAGTCCTGGGCATTGTGTTGGTTAAGTTGAGCTAAGGAGTTGTTGGCTTTCCATGAGAGCCAGGTTTCACCCCAAGGAAGGTTTCTTCTCATCAGCAGGGCTTTGCACAACCCTGGTTCTTGCAGTTGTGCAGTGCCTGGAGCCCTGGATGTTTGGGGATAGGGGAGATCATGGAACCTTAGAATGGCTTTGGTTGGAAGGGACCTTTACAAGTCATCCAGTTCTGACTCCCAGGGAAGGTGGAAATGCCAGGGAGCACCTCAGCAGTGACAGATAGAATCACAGAATGGTGTAGGTTGGAGGGGACCTTAAAGATCATCAGGTTCCAACCCCCCTGCATGGGCAGGGACACCTCCCAGCAGCCCAGGCTGCTCCAAGCCCCATCCAACCTGCCCTTCAACACCCCCAGGGATGGGGCAGCCACAGCTTCCCTGGGCAACCTGGGCCAGGCTCTCCCCACCCTCACAGCACAGAATTTCTCCCTCCCATCTCAGCTCCAGCTCCCTCTGCCAGCTGGAAACCCTTCCCCCTGCTCCCATCCCTCCCTGCCCTTGTCCCAACCCCCTCCCCAGCTTTTCCAGGCCCTGGAAGCTGCTCTAAGGTCTCCCTGGAGCCTTCTCTTCTCCAGGAAAAGTGTCTCCCACTGCCTTTGTGCATTT